GTTTTTTTTATTATTATTATTAGTTCAAATTAGGAACAAGCTTGCTTCACATGTCAATCCCTTCTCCCTCTCCCTCCCCTCCACCCAACTCCCTACCAGCCCCTCACTCCCTCTCCCCTGCACTCCCCAGGGATGGTAAGGCCCTCCATGGGGGCTCCCCAAAGTCCATCCTGGGCAGGGCCTAGGCCCTCTCCTATGTGTCCAGGCCAGGAGAACATCCCTTCTCATGTGATTGGCTCTCAAAGTCCCTTCTTATATCAGGGAAAAATACTGATCCAGTACCAGGGGCCCCCTAGAGTACCGAGGCCTCCTCATAGACATCCACATCCAGGGGTCTGGATCAGTCCCATGCTGGCCTCCCAGACAGCAGTCTGGGTTCCATGTGCTCCCTCTTGTTCAGGACTGCTGTTTCTGTGGGTTTCACCAGCCTGGTCCTGACCCCTTTGATCTTCATTCCTCCTTCTCTGCAACTGGATTCCAAAGTTCAGTTCAGTGTATAGCTGCGGGTGTCTGCCTCTGCTTCCATCAGACACTGGATGAGGGCTCTAGGATGGCATATAAAGGAGTCATAAGTCTCATTATAGGGGAAGGACAACTACCTAGATTGTCAGTTGGTGAAATTTCTATAATTTTAAATCCTCTCTTCTACAGAGCTTTGCTCCAGTAGCCCTGATGTCCACTACTTGGGAGTGAAGATTGTCTTTTGTAAATGCTGTCAAAGATGTTTAAAGGAAATATGAACAATTTCACACGAATAAATTAATCAACTTAAAAAGAATCACACAACAGCTTATTTTAAAGCACCACAAGTAACCCTAAGTCTACTTGTTAATTTGCAATTAAAAAAAAAAATCCAGTGTCAGTGAGAGGGCTCAGCTAGTAAAGGCACCTGGGAATCTAATTTTAATTCCCAGAACCCATGTTGTGGAAGAACAGAGTCCCTCAAGTTGTCCTCCAACCTACATACATACATACATACATACATACATACATACACACACACACACACACACACACACACACACACACACACACACACACCAATTTAATTGTAAATAATATTTCAGGCTCCAACTGGCTTCACTGGGGAACTACACTTAACAATGTAGCACAAATTCCCTCAAAAAATTAAAGGTGAAGGAGCATTTTAACTCATGCAATTAGATTAGCATGACCTTTAGACCAAAATGAGAAAACCTGGCCAGTTTAAAGGTTAATTAAGAATCAACATACACTGTAATAAGTTGGGGTCAGACCAATTAGGATTCTACAGAAATAATTAAAATGAGAAGGACTTAACTTCAATACTGTAATTACCTTTCTGCCAGAGGAATTTACCCCATGTGTCTACAATCATTCCTGATAAAGGGTTTGTTGAGATATGGGGATGGGGGTGGAGGGGGTGGATTGGGCAGCGGTGCAGGCCTGACTTGATTGTGCACTGAGTTCAAGTCCATCCAAGTTGCACAAGACTCAGTCTCAAAACAACAGTAACAGGGCCTTTCAAAGGAAACCAGAACTGAGAGACTTAGCAAAGGTGAACCAGGGTAGTGTCAGGTTGGAAGTCAATGCATCAACAAGAAATAAAAAGGACAGTGGTGTTGGCGAATTGAAGAGCCAAGACACACACTTAGGATCATAAAAAAGTTTGTAGAAAGAATAGTTTGACACTAGTAAATATCCATTCTTATTTGTGTCAAATATTTGGAGACTGGAGTTCAGGAAAGTAGGAGAGATCACGCCTGTGTAACTCCACTTACAACCTCCTTGTGGCTATTAAACACAGTGTCATACTCTAAAGAGAACTAGCTAGTCGATCACATTTAGGCTGGCTTTCCCAGTGTTAAAACAGGGGGAAAAAGTTGTATTATAAAAAGCACATTATAATACTATATTTGGCTTCTCCAACTTGGAATCCCTATATGAAGTCAAATGAAAAAGCCACACACTGCAGTCTACATCTGCTACTAGGAAGTTTCCTAGAAAGCCTCTCCAGCCCCTGCATATGCGAATAACCCTTTGGAAAACCAAAATGGCTAGTTTTATCAGAGAGGGCAGCTAAGACAAGGGACTCACTCATCATGGATGGACCAGCCAAGCCACAAGGTCATACTAAATCTAAGTTCTGATCTGCAGTCCACTGCATTTGATGTGCACGCACACTATGGCACACAAGGTTAGAGAATGACTTCTGGGGATCAGTTCTCTCCTTCTACAACATGGGTCCTGGTGATGGAACTCAGGTCACTAGGCTTGTGGGCACATGCCTTTACTTACTGAACCATCATCAGTCCTAGTTAATTTGTTTTTAAGGAGGCAACTTTGACTAAGTGGTTAATCTCAATTCAAAGGCCACCCTCAGCACACAACTGAATGGCCTCCTGGATAACTATACTTCCCCCAAAGCAGAGAAAGCCTTTCACTTGCTATTAAGACATGGTGGCCATTATCACTACACAAAAATCCCCAGGAAGCTGATGCCATGAAAAAAAAGGACTCCAAATGTTTGATATGGAAAGCCTCAATTATATTTACCTATAAGACAGGACTGCCCATTATGTAAAAACCTGCCTGGGTGGTCATTTCTGAAGCCTGGAAAAGCAAATCACATTTCAGTTATAAAAACAAGCTGTGAATATGCAGTCATAGAAGATAAAATTACCACAACAGTGGATTTCAAGATTTTCATTTTATTAAAAATATAGCAACATGATAGCAGCAGCATCTTATAGCTCTTTACTAGTACCATGTCAAAGTAGTTCTACTCACAGACACACCTAGGCAGTATCGTTATGCTTACATTAACTTTTCCCTTGATGCTCTATAGCACTATTCTAGTAAACTACTTGAGACCAAGAGGGTATTTTTAACTACTAAATTGTTACAGTATAAATATACAGTATTTTAAATCTTGTATGGAAATCAGTCCTGAGATTTCTCCCTCAGTCATGTGTTGCCCACTGTACTGTTTACTGGTAGAATTCTACAAGTTTCTCAGCATGAGTTTAACGGATCTGCATTTACACAGTCAGGAATGTTTCCATCAGCAAATATTAATCAAGAATATAGAGACCGCTATCCCATTTTGATCCTGGAATTTAAATGTCCTATCTACCAAACTGGCAATTTTCCAGATTAAAATGTTAGCTGCCTATAAATTTAAGTATCAAGCTACAGATTAAAAATCTACCTTTAAAATATTGTTATGCATTAGGCTGCAGTTTAATGACAGAGTACTTTGAAACCTGGGTTTAATCCCCAACACCAAGGGGAAAAAATTAACTATAAACAAATCAATTCCAGAAACTATTAGTTATCTTAACCAAGACTGTAAAAAGATCTATTACTAAATCTAACCTGATTATGGACCAGAAGTCATGAATGACTTTTGTTTTTAATCTTCTAATTATGTATCACTCACTCCTCAGGTGAAAACATCATTAATTGTACAATAAAAGACAAAAGGAATTGAAAGGCTGACCTACAGATTAAGTGGGAAACAAGTTTTTCCACTTTAAAAGATTATTTTGTTACATTTACATTAGACTCCTGCTTCCAGAAATAGGATGAATCCCTTTGAAGAGCTTTAAATCTGGTATCTGAAAACAATTTAACTATAAGCAAGTAGACATGAGAAAACATTATGGTGGGCAAACATGTAAATACATAAAGAACTGTCACTGCATTTCTCCATTGTGGGGATGGCTCAACTCATAATCCACTCAGGTAAATCCTCTTTTCAATGACTCACAGGTGCTCCCTTATCCAATGCATCCGTCCAAAAGGACCAATGCTAGCTGCTAACTCAACTACCATGAAATGAAATCATACTCCATCTGTAATGCACTGTGAATTAAAGATGTTTTAAAGGCTATTAGTGAGCTCCCTAATCCTTAAAATTAAATAATCTCATAGGTTAACACAGGTATAGTAAAAGATTTGATCTTTTTAAACTTTGAAAATAAAACATAGCGACACAAAGGAACAATATTAGTATCTTAAAAGACACTTTTCTTGACCAAAAAAAAATAAACCATCTTGATTATAAACAAGGTTTTTATTTGTAATTGAGTATACCAAAATTTAAACCTCTAACATAAAGACAAATACATGATAAACACTGAATCTGTTCAAAAAAGAATAAACATGGAGATTTCAGGCTGAGTAGTGTTTTCAGTCTAAATTAACTAGATTAAGGTAGAAACAATAACTACAGCGATAGTCACAGAAGTTAAGGACCTGTTGCAGCCTTCCTGTAAAACCACCAGGTCAGTGCTTATACCAGCTCAGTGTACACAAGAAGCTATCAGCAGTATCAGATCCTGTCCAGAGAGAGGAAAAACCACTGCACTTTCAGTCGGTGGGAGAGTGTTCTCTCATCTTACCTCAGGTTTCCCTGATAGTTTCTTGGGTGACAAAAATTATTTTTGGTTTTGTTTTGTTTTTCAGGGCAGGGATTTTCTGTGTAGTCCTGGCTGACCTAGAACTTACCAAGTAGACCAGACTGGCTTCAAACTCAAGAGATCCACCTGCCTCTGCCTCCCGAGTGCTGGGATCAAAGGTGTGCGGCACCACTGCCTGGCTGACAACATTCTTGAAAGAAATAAAATAGCTTAATAGGAAACATCAAATGGATAAAACAAAGCCCATGTGTGCCTGCCTCCCTGCATGCCCCCCCCCTCTCTCTCTCTCTCACACACACACACACACACACACACACACACACACACACACCAATCCCACAGCATCTGCCTTACTCCCTCTCATCTCATATCCCTACTTCTTCTACGTTAATGAATTTGAGCAAATAACATGCATGGAAAACAGTTAGTGGTAGGAGAAACAGTCAGTTTCTCCCATGAAAACATTTGAATAGTGCAGAGGACAGGAAAACACCTCAACTTAATTTACAGGGCTGTTTTAGAGATGTTGCACAAGCCTGCATCAGCCATGTCAAAAGTATCCATGTGTCAAATAAACAAGAGCGGGAGGAAACTGAAGACTTTCCTCTAAAATACTGAACTTTATTAAGAGAAATGGTACTAAAAAATAACAAAGATCAAACATTTGCTCTATTCTACTTACATATCATAAATAAGACATCGGTTGAAGCGAGACACACTCCTTCACAATCTTTCCACAGGTGCCCAATCATTTCTGTATCAGAATAAGCTGTTTACCAGCCAACCATATGTGGCTAAACTATTAAATGGCCATCTATACTTTACATAGTAAAGCATCTTCCAAAGTTTAATGTACACAGTGACAAAAAGAAAACACACATACACACAGTAATCTGAAGATGATTAAGCAGCTTCATAATCAAACCAGGCTATATGACTTGGAGAAAGGGCCTTTCTACTCTTCAAATTATAGTTTCAACAGTATTAATGTGAAAACAAGACTCAAATTGGAACCAAGTAACTAAAGTGCTACTTGACTTCTTCAATCTGTGACAGTAACCCTTCCCATAAGGTAAGGCAACTGAGTAATTTGATTGTATTAAATAAAACTAAAATTCATTTTTAAATAAGATTTGCAAATTAAGTGTTTTTGGTTTATTTGGAAATGTAACAATAATGACTAGTGCATTAACCAGAATTGATAGTTTCGCAGAAAACATTAACAGTTTTCATTTTACTACTTACATACCTTCTATGAAAAATTGAGCCTAAGATTGGTGGATGACCATGTGTCTTAAACTCACATAAGCATATTGTTAAACACAAAACCACCTCTATATGCTCCCAGTCCTTCCTTTAAGTATAATTTCTGTATCATTAGAAGAAAATGATTGCGAGGTAATATTAAGGCCATCCAATGAAGACAACTAATTGGTTTCCTCTGATTTGAAGTAAGAGTATGTCTCCCTTTCAATCATCACAGTAGAAAACTGGTGGTCCCAAAACTACAATGTTGTTTGAAACTCCACAAGTCTTGTAAACAGGACTTCCTTCTGACAAACCCCTAGCATACTTCCCCATGGTTGTGAACAGAATACAGCCATCTAGATTCATATGAATTGAGAATGACTAGCACATATAAAACCCTAGAAAACAGTATACCACACATTGTAGAAGGCACTAAAGCTTCAGCTTGTGCTCCCATGGCCCATTTTGAAAACTCAGTTTCCTTTTTATAAGGGGATCTTTGCCACCTACAGCTGACAAGACACACTGCAATATTATTCATGAGCTTGGAAATGTCAACAAAGTTCAAGAAATGCTCATTTTTGTGGCAGACCCAATGATTCTAAACACTGAATACTAACATGTTGTTATTAGTATTCAACACAGTTTCTCTTCTCTTGAAAGAGAACAGTAGCATGCATTGTCAGTTGGTTTTTAATCCACTTATTTAAGCAATTTTAATCTGTAAAACTGTTTTAAAAGAAAAACTGATGTCCAAACAGTGAGCAAAAGAAAACACAATAGTGAGAATTTACCACAATCACTGTTAAGTCCTGTGAAGTAAATGTTAAAACTTCTTACATACTTTGCACTTTACAAGAGTGTATATATATATTTGCACAAATTCAAGCACATCATCAAACTGTATATATTGAAAATTTCTTTAAAAAAGTAAAACAATACAAAATTCAGTAACTAGCATTTTCTTTAAGAGCCTCCAATGCTCATCTCCAGTCTTTAGGGATAGTTCAATTCTGGATCTGTGATGTTCAATTTACTTGCAATGCTTCTTGGCAAACACTAATGAACCACATGACAAGTGTGCCAGCCACCATGGAAATGCACAGACTTCAGAAGATGGTAAATTTGGGTGATATCTGATTATTTTCATGATGCCCATGCTCAGTAACAAGATGTCCACAATGTCACCTCATAGCTGGAAAAGCTGTTAGTTCCCATATGTGAGTCTCTTCCCCATTTACATCTTGTTGTGAACTGAAAGCTTTGGGTTTGATCCCACCAAGGAGGGAAAGATGCAGCAGGTGGTCCTACACCACATCAGCTTTACTGCAGAGGCTCTCTTCACTTGGTTGGCAATTCCCATTCTGCTGTACTTTGTTTTCTTCCTCAGTCCTTGGTGGGTCCTTCTCATCTGTATCTTGGCTCACACTTGAATCTGCCTCTTTACTGTGTTCCTTCTACAACAAACATCAAGCGCATGTTCACTATCTTGCACAATAACTGTCTGTAATTATGTATGGCTAAATGATATAACAGTTTTTTGTGAAGAAAACTGCAGTGTTTTCTTTCATTAAAAACCCATGCAAGCACATGTATCAATTTGCCCTTTGTATGTTATTTCCAACAAAAGATGGGCAACTCATGATAACAAAATCAGAACAGGTAAACAAAAATTGTAGCTCTTCAAAAACACCCTCATAAAACCCCAAAAAAGGCAAAGAGCTTTCCAAAACACAAGAAATAAATGTGAACATGTATAAAAGGGAGTAGCTGTTCTTAGAAAGTCTTCAAAAGCAGTCTAAACTCTGCCCCCAGTCTAAGGGAGAATTACGCACGGACAAAGAATACCTAACAAGTAACTCATGCTTAATAAATAAGGCCAATTTCACTGATGATGACAATAAACTTCCATCAGTAGCAAAATAAATTCCAGAACCTATATTTCCAAATAGAATTATACTAGATAGTAAAAAGAACTGACATAATTCACAAGTACTTACAATTTCCAAGAAAAAGCTTAATTAGGGAGTTTTAGTTTTCAACTCTGGATTGGTTAAGGACTTTGGATTTTAATGATGTATTTATTACATATGAACAAATCTATTTTTAACAAATTTGCTCAAATGAATGCTGAGGAAAATGGATCAAACACAAACCTCAGTATCATAAACATATTAAATACACTTGTTATCCAGAAGTTATCTAAAATTTTCTCATTGTATAAGGAATTAAGCTGCTTCTGTTTTAATTGGTTCTCATTTCTTCAAAATGTAATCTGTGCAAATGGCAGAAGTGCCCTGAGCCCTGGTGCCCTAAGGGGCACCAAACATTCAGTCCACTGCATCCAGAGCCTGGCTGAGCAGCTCACCTTAACTGGTGTGTTGGTCTTCTCCACCTTCTCCTTCCCGTCATTAGAACTCTTTTTTGTGGAGGTAGAACGCTCTCTTTCTCTCCTATCACTGATGTGGTCCCGTTCTTTTTCTCTCTTTTTATCTTTCTTATTTCGGCTATGATGAAAATACAGGAGTTATCTTTCAAGAATTTAAAGACCTACTGTACTCTTGAAAACATTCCTTATCTAACACAGGCCATCCAAAACAATACAGTGTACATAAGCATACTAGTAAACTAGATTGATAAAGTAACCAAGACAAGACCTACAACCTGACCTATTCCACCCTTTGCTTCAGTCAGTGTCCAGGTCACTTCTACAGCAGCCACCAATGTGTTCCTATAAGACACAACTTGGTATTGTCAATTTACTACTTTTAAATACTCAAGATACATGTATCTACTTGAAAAAGCATGAGATAAAAACCAACTACAGTCAGCCTACACTGTAATGATTCCTTATCCACAGATTCACCTGACCACTAATCAAAAGTATGTAGGGAAAAGTTGCATCTGAACTAAATACAGACATTTTTCTTTTCTGATAATGAGAACCCGTCCACTAAATTCGTAACCCCTATAGACTTTTTTCTTTGCATAATTCTCTGAATATACAACACACTGTTATATAATTTTTCATATGCACCTTCTCGACATAATATATGAACATTCAAGAGGGAATAAAAAGGGACCATTGAGATGGCTTAGTTGACATCAATCATAATGACCTGAGTTTGAGCCCCGGGACTTACGTGTTAGGAGAGAATCAACTCCCCACAAGTTACCTTCTGCCTCCCACGTTCACACAAAATAGACAAAAGAATTTAACAGAGAATAAAAAGGACAGAGAACCAGATGTGGGAAAATAGCTATTAGCAAAATTTAGAATTTCAAATAACCTAGTATGTCCCTTGCCCACCTCATCTATTGGAAACAAGAAGCAAACCTAAAACACAGAACACACTACTATAAAAAAAAAAAAAAAAAATCACAAATCCCTAAGATTATAGAGGAAAAATTCTGCATAGCATTTGAGTGTTCCTGATCAGGCTGAGATGAATAGCTCTAACACAGAACTATGAGCAGCTCCCTGTTAGTAGCTTAAAAACAGATACAAGACTAATGGAACAAATGAAGGGAACTACGAAGCAGATCCAAAGACAAATGTAAATCTGCTGCAAAAAAAGTAACATTTCAAGGCACTGGTCATTAAGAGTTTTGGGGACAACTATCTAATCATTTGCAGATAGGATCCACATGCCATTCTACAAAACAGAAATAAAGCAAATTGGTTTAGAGACCCAATTTATTTTTTAATTAAATGAGTACATACCAGAAGCAAATATGGGTGAATTCTAGCCACAACTAAACCTCCAAATAAGTAAAACAAAACAAAATCCGTAAATCTAAATTTGTTTGCAAGAAACTTTACAAGGCAAAGCAAAAAAAAAAGGGGGGGGTGTAGGCCCTGCTCCAAATGATAAGACAGACATTGAAGATTTCCACCCCCCCTGGAAGGCCTCACCCTCCCTGGGGAGCAGAAAGGGGATGGGATATGGGGGGGGGGGAGCAGGGGAGAAGGGGAGGAAGAGGGAACTGGGATTGACATGTAAAACAAGACTGTTTCTAATTTAAATTAAAAATGTAAAACAAAGAAACAAACAAAAGAATCCAAACCCTCAAGTACTCAGCCCATTTTTATGTGTTATGGCTTAAAAATCAAAGGAACAACACGGAGGAGCATCATGAACACTGCAATACAAGGGCTAGAAATGTGGCTCAACAGTTAGGAGCATGTGCTGCTCTTCCAGAGGACTGGAGCTCAGTCAGGCAGCTCACTATTGCCAGTAACCCCCAACTCTCTTCTGAACTCTGCAGACACTGCTCACATGCACAAACACACACACACAAATATTTTTAAGAAAATACAATTTAACTCTTTAAAGAAAACAAAAACAAAACAATTAGTATAACAACCATCATAACACAGTAATAAAAGAACTCACAGAAGGCAAGATTTGAATGCTATTAAGAACACCAGCAAAAGCAATACACAGAATACAATTCCTACAAAAACCATTAACAGCAGATACAGGAAAATCTGTCCTGAAACTCCTATGACATCTCCAAGACCCCCCATATAGCTAAAATGTTCTTTTATATAAGAACAAAGTTGAGGCTGGAGAGATGCACACTTGTAAGAGCGCTAGGTGCTCTCAAAAGCCACTGATTTGGTTTCCAGCACTCACATGGCAGCTCATAACCTTCAGTTCCAGGGAAGATGACATCATCTCCCACCTCCACAGGTTCCTGCACACATGTTGTGAACATACACACACTCAAACCCAGGCACACACACACATAAAATAACATGAATATATAAATATTTTTAAAGCAAAAGAAAAAACAGGGTTAGGTGACTCACAATTTCTGATTTCAAAATGACTATAAAACTACATTAACTGAAAACATGGTACTAAGGACAAACATATAGGTCTATGGAAAGTCTGGAATAAACTCTTGAATGCCAGATCAAATGATTTTCAAGATGGGCAAATAAATGTTTTCAGCAATGCCAGGAAAGCTTGAAATTCACATGCCAAAGAATGAAGTTGAAATCCTACCTCTAACCACATATAAAAATTACCTCAAAATACATGAGAGGGTTGATGAAATAGCTCAGAGTAATAGCAAGTGTTCTGTGACCTGAACCATGAGTCCAATTTCTGGAACCCATATTCAAGTAGGAGGGAGCTAATTTCATAAAGATGTCCTTCAACTTCCACACACATGCTGTGACACATGCATGCCCCTCCATGTACACATCACACACGATAATAAAATTTAAAAAACAAAATAGATCAAAAACAGACACAACAATTCATCACCACAAGTTTTAAGGTTATGGCCTTCTGGCATATAAACACCAGTGAGGCCCAGAAATAGTCATTGACAACACAAATATACAAGGGTATGCTATCCTTTGTGTGAAGAAGTAAGAAGTTGCAAAATACCCATTTGCCTAGCTTTACAAAAGAGACAAAAGCTGAAACAAAGAGGGACTGGGAAGAAGAAGAAAGACAGAGCACTGTCACAGAACCATCAGAAGCAAAGGGACATTCTCATTCTCATTCTCATTTTCTCTCTCTCTCTCATCATATGGAGACATTTCTAATAGTTAAGAGTGGCAGAAAAGCACAGCTCCTACCTATTTCACGATCCTTTATGTCTAAGGAAGAAAATTATCCATTTCCATCTTGTAACTACACAAAACTGGAAAGGGGGGGGCGGGGAATTCCTATATGGACGGAGTAAATGAACACATGGGTGGAAGCTGATAGTTTTAAACAATAAGATCTTACATCAATTCTGAAGAATACAAATATATTAGCCATTCAAAAAACAAAACCTGAAAACAGATAAAGAAGGAACCCTTTTCCACTTGCTGCTCCCTCTTCATGTTTCACCAGATGCTTCCACCTACCCCCTGGGAGATGGAGACCTGGAAGACTTTCTTTTTATGGTCTTTGATGTTCTTGGAGATCTGGAAGAACTCCTGCTCCTCCTCCGCCGCCTTTCCCTGAAAGACAAAACATGTCATTTCCTAAAATTAGCACCTGAAATAAAGAGTTCTCAACTCAGTGAGAGCATCTCTCCAAGACTAGTTTGATTAGTTTATCTTTTTAATGTTTTTCAGACCTTGACAATAGCCTCAGGTTTCTTAATGCTAACATTGTAAGCTGCATATACCACCAGCTTAGCTTATTTTTACTTTTTACCAGGAGAGGGGTTAAAGGGATCCTGGGGATCAAATCCAGGCCCTCCCAATGACAGACAAGTGCTTTGCCACTGGGCCACTCCCCAAAGAGCCCACTAAACTCTTTTTAAAAGCATGCTTTATTACCTGATTTTAATGCAGATCAAATTATGAACCATAAATCTTATCACTGACAAAACCATCACCTAAAATTTCATATGAAAATATAGAACAACCTCCTCTTCATTTGACATACTTTAAATTCTTCAAGTTAGTAAACAAATTGATGGGTTTCCCTAGATGGTTCAGATTCCTTCCCATCAGATCCTTCATTGACCTTTGGCTCCTCTTTTCTGCCCCACAGCAAAGATTTCCTAACAAAAAAAAGTCTGCCAAAACTGAAAGACAAGTTATCTTGCTAAGGTTGAAATGTGTTAGAGTAATAAAAAGGCATTTAAAAAATTTGTTGAGAAGCCATTTTCCCCTCTAGCTTGCTATCATTACTATTATGCCAGTAATTGAAAACTGAATGCACAAATTTATACAAGTAGTTAAAACTTGAAATTTAAATAAGGAAATAATTACCAAAAAGAAAAGGATTAGTGATAGTCAATAAAAAGATTTAAGATTAACATATAATGTATATTCTAAACTACAAGAGTAATTAAACAAAAGAACTTCACCATCTCCAAGGGAAGAGGTATCAGGATATATTTATTGAATGATCAATTAAATTAGTCCATGACCTTATATAAGAAGTTCTGATAAGGGCTGGGGAAGATTTCTCAGTGGATAAAGTGCTTGTTGCCTAAGCACCCAGGTAAAAGGCCAGGCAGGGTGGCACATACCTGTAGTCCAGCACCAGAAGGCAGAAACAGGAGGATCTGGGACACTTGCCAGCCAGCCTGGGCAGTCAGTGAGTCTCAAGTTCAGTAAGACTGTGTCTCAACAAATAAGCTGGAGAGTGATGGGGACATGACACTGTCCTCTAATGGCAACACAAACACACATAAATGCACACTCACTCTACAAACGCAAAGGAGCAACAGCACTGAGAACCACTGACCACACAACCAAAATAACAACCTTCCTGAAATTCAGGCTACCTTTACTATTGCTTTTAGTTTTCTTTCATAAAATTAAGAACAGAGATTATTAGTTGTATATGTGGTTGGCATTTTAAAGGGCCAAAAAAAAGCAAAGACCCGTAACAACACAAACACTGTTTAAACTGAGTCTACTTTTTCAATTGGAACAAAGAAAATCCACAAACAACTCAAGACTTACAGAGATATTTTGGGGCTAGAAGATAACACCTGTAAAACATCAGGAACAGAGCCTAGCACATTGCAGGTAGTTGATAGATGTTCTTTTTTTGTGGGGAGCGGAACAGAATATTGGGGAAATCAAACCCAAATCTATTCACACATAATAGAAAAATCTTTCTGCCTTTCCTTCCCCTTCTTTCTTTCTTTCTTTCTTTCTTTTTTTTTTTTTTTTTTTTTGGTTTTTTCGAAACAGGGTTTCTCTGAGGCTTTGGAGGCTGTCTCGAACCTACAGAGATCCACCTGGGACTAATGGCGTGCGCCACCACTGCCCAGATCCTTCCCCTCTTAACATTAATTTTCAAGCATTTGGTTTTGTTGTGTTTTTTTTAAGATAGGGTTTCTCTGTGTAGCCCCAGCTGTTCTACAACTCACTCTGTACACCAGGGTAGCCTCAAAATCACAGACAGACTTCTGCCTATGCCTCCTGAGTGTTGGGATTAAAGAAGTGCACCTCTATCTAAGTAAAAAATACTTTCTTTGAAAATACAGATTAGGAGAGAATGTTGACTATAAAAGCATAAATCTATAGACTTTGGAGCAATTAGAATATTTTCCACTCAATAGACAAATCAAAACATTAGAAAACATGGGTAAGAGACTGCACCTGCTATTGAACACAGATATTATCGCACCAGAGCTCCTAGAGCAAGGTGTGCCTGTGTGCCTGCGTACAGCCACCTACTAACCAACTCCTCACAACCCATGTTTGTTTTTTGGTCTCTAGGTCACAGGGTTTGTTTAAGAGTATGTTCAGGGCTGAATATGAATCTTTAAACTCCCTTAAAGATAAAACAAAGGAGTCAGAAAGTGGTGGTACATGCTTTTAATCTCAGCACTGGGGAGGCAGAGACAGGTGATCTGAGTTTGAGGCCAGCCTGGTCTACACAGTGAGTTCCAGGACAGCCAGGACTGGTTCACAGAGAAACCCTGTCTTGAAAAACCAAAAAAAGTGTGAAGTTTTATAATTAGTATTTGTACCTGCTTTTGAAAAACTGCCATAGAACCATGAAGTTGAAAGCAATTATACCTGTAAGAACGGGCTCAACATAGGAACATTGAAACAGACAGCCTTTGCCCTGGGTATCAGTTTAGCTTGTGATTGCACCCTGCTTGCAAGTGATTTTATTGACTATGCTGTGGGTGAATGCACCACTACCATCCGGCAACTTCACACTTTGTTAAAAGAAGGAAACAAGGTACTACACTTCTGATAGCAGAGCAGGGAGCAAGTAAAGGCCTGTCTTTACCACGGTGTGGGTCTCACAAGCTTGCTGGAAGGACTAAATAAGGTGAGACACCAAAATCAGCCAAGAACTAGATCTGGCCTGTTATACCAACACCCAGTAAACACTGCAATTAGCTTTTATTTATCTTTTAATAGGCTAGCATAAAAAATAAGCTATAAAATAACTATTTTTTAAAAAAGGAAACATATTCCTTTATCAACTTGTTTGCAATGAAAAACCAACTTTAAATTTTGTTCAAACATTTATTTTTAAATATTTTTAAAAGACTAAGCTTAATTTATCATAGAATCAGCTGAAATGAGGGATAAGAGAGTTAAACAACCTTGAGGAAGATTCTCATTGCGCAGCTGTTACTATAGAAACGTGCTGCCACCTGGTGGCAGTGTATCTATTAATAAGTGGAAACAACAGCCCTAAGAGGAAAAGCTCTAATCCTTAAAACTAACAAGAATCAGATCTTAACATCACACACAAAGCATAATGGAAAGTAAAAGTTAGCTCCGATGACAGAAAGGACTCACGCTAGAACTGTAGAAATCATAAGGCATGCTAAGATTCACCATCCATTCTAGAGAAACACCAAATCCTCAAAGGTCAACTATTACAAAGAATTTTTTATACAGAGACTTAAAAACATCTTTCCCATCACATGCCATCCTCTAGGAAAAATAATAAGAAATAATTAACCAGATTTAAGTATTGCATTATGAAAGGCAGCTGTCTGTCCAAACATCTTGTTCAATGATATAGCGACCCTCTGCTGAAAAAAGTTTACTTGTTCAATTAAGGGTAAATGCTACTACTATTATACTTGCATAAAGTAGTAATCTTTCCACCTCGGTTAAAGCTGTATTCATTGGTCACCAGCAAACCTCTTGGTAAAAAGGTGAAGCAGGGTGCAGTGGTAGCTCGGTTGTGTAAACACGAGGACCTAAATTCCACCTCTAGAGCCCATATGGAAAAGCACAACATGCCATTAACAGTAATGGCTTAGTAGCATGCAGAGACAGGCAGACCCCAGGGGCTCACTGGCCAGCCAGCCTAGCCTACTGTATCCTGATCAATGAACCAGACCCAAGGTTGCCCTTTGACCTCCATACACAAACCACCAGAGGCATGCACACCTACACCTACACACACCTACACCTACACCTACACCTACACCCACACCCACACACCCACACACCCACACACCCCCACACCCACACACCCACACACCCACACACCCACACACACACACACACCCTACCTGCTGGTACTACGAGATCTTCTTGATGCATTGTAACTTCTGGGTGGTGTTCTGGACTTCTTATCCTTCTTCCGTTTCTCATCAGCCTCTTTGGATTTGTCTTTTTCCCGCTCCTTGTCTTTGTCTTGGTCCTTTTCCTTGTCTTTGTCTCGCTCCTTTTCATGATCCTTTTCCTTCTCTCGATCTTTATCTTTGTTTTTACCCCGTTCTTTGTCTTTTTCACGATCCTTTTCCCTTTCTCTCTCCTTTTCTTTTTCCCTCTCTCTCTCTTTCACTCTTTCCTTTTCCTTCACCTTTTCTCGTGTATCTTTTCTCTTGTCCCTTGAAAAACAAACAGAAATAAATTCTTAGCTAAAATAATTTTATCTCAAAAAAAGAGACCTCTGTATTTCTACAACTACCAGTACAAAATCATCTGCAATGACTACAGACATTAGAAATTTCTGTGTAACTCAGGTGTGTACCTGAGGCTGCTAAGTCAAACAATTACCAGACCGAGCTGACTCACACTGATGAGATTTGCATCAAAGACAATCAGTACTAACCATAGACACTAAAGCAATAAGAAAAAGAAAGCTTTATTTCTCTCATGATAAACCTAAACCACAATTTCAAGTGAATGAAAACAGTGATTAAAAATCTATATTCTCCTGGTATCTCCAGAACTCACCGTGAACGTGAACGGCTCCTTGACTTCCGCCTCTCCCTAGACTTAGAGCGTTTTTTATGTGGACTCTTGGATCTACGTCTATCTTTCTGTCTTGACCGTGACCTGTTATGAGATCTACTCCTAAAGAAAAACAAATTGTAAGGAGATCAAAATTTATTCTTAGAATTCAACTGACAAAGTCAGAAATTCTATTTACCAATATTTTAAATGAGCCTTCTATAATGTTTTAGTTATATAACACAAAAAAATTAAATTTACTTATGGAAAATTTACCAGCTACAATATTGTAAAGAACACAAAACAAAAATAACCTACTAGTTATTTTCTATGTCAGAGTTAAGTATTTTTAGGAGTAGCTTTCCTTCTCATCACATTATAGGCCTCAAATCTGGAGACTGTTCCCTTCACCCATTTTCATATCATCAACTAACTGTCTTTAATTCCTGGCTCCCTGGTAAACCAGCTATGAGAGATTCTGAGGGAAAGGATTTATATGCTTCAACAATGTCTACAAATGGCCATGCACTGTTTGACACAGCAAACGGTAGGGATAATGTATAAAGGATGAGAGACAAGAGAGAGCAGAGGGTGAACACCAGAATGCATTATAAACATGTGTAAAGTTGTCAAAGAATACATTAATAAAAAAATATTTCAGCTGGGCAGTGGTGGTACACCTTTAATTCCAGCACTCAAGAGGCAGAGGCAGGTGGATCTCTCTGAGTTCAAGACCAGCCTGGTCTACAGAGCAAGTTCCAGGACAGCCTGAGGTACACAGAGAAACCCTGTCTTGAAACTCCACCCCACAATTCTTACAGACTATACATGGAAAATAGTAATGATGATAGTGAAAGTGTAACAACATAAATATGAGAGGTTAAAACCAGAGAGATTCAAATGTCTGGTTTGTGTGATGTCTTGATCTTATTATAACTCCTAATTATAATCAGCTACTAAAAAAAACTTTATTACTCTATTATTCTCCATGAAAAATAATTGTTATTTCAATTCTGAGGTGGCCCCATCAAAATAACTGGGTATGCTTCCATGTTATTTTTTTCATAATAAAATATCCCAGGCACTATTTTCTAAAATATAACGAAATACAGCTGCCAATGTAGCTCAGTAGTAGTTTATAGAATATCTCATGTCCTGGATTTGATTGTCAACACTAGAACAAAACTAAAGGGACTATTTTCTTTAAGGTGTAGCAAAATAGATGGACACTGCTTAAGTAAGTAAGTGATGAGTGAGACCCACTGGCTTTGAGTTTGACAGTGAGACTCCAAAGGCACCTATGCCACAGTGGCTGTAAGCTCTGGCTAAGTCCTTGTTCCATACTAAAGTCCATGTTTCTCTGTAGTCTGAATCCCATCTACAGAGCCCAAGGTTATCATGATGACTCTACCAGATGATGCATGCAAAATGCCTTGTAGCCTCTAGCACAGAGTAAATGTTTATATTAGCAAACAAGCAAACTTTCAACTTCATCTTTGAGTCCAAAGGAGCCAAGGACAAGTGAACTTTCCAGTGTGCTTTATATAACCAAAATTCATCTACATGATCATGGTATTGTTTTAATTACATTATTTAGTGTGTGGATGTACACACATATGTGAATGCATGGCAATGTGTGGAGATCAGAGAACAGCTTGTACAGTGGGTTCTTGTCTTTCATCATTTGGCTCCCAAGGACTGAAGGTTGCCACGCTTGGTGGACATCACCTTTACCTACTGAGCTACCACACCAGCCCCATTGATATTTTAACAAATTAGAATAAGTCCTACAAAAGAATGCCCTTCATGCTGATGAAATTTATTACTAAGCACATTTTCACTTAGCCAAAATTTGTTTACGTGCAGCTAATTTTTTAAACTCTCTACTATTAGTAAAATTATTTTTAAATTAAAAGACAAATAGTAACTTATCACACTGCTTCAAAGTTCAACTGTAAATCATTTTTTCTCATTAAAATACTTTGTCACATAGTTCCTAGTCTGCTCTGTGAAGTTTCTGTAACCTAAAATACAGTATCTGGAGAACTGCCCTCCTTTTCTAATACTACCTCTGTGAATAAAACAAATACCAAAATGTGAACAAAATAGAAATATATTCCCCAAGTCCTAACCAAGGGCGGTCATGCCTTTCTCCCTCTTACCATCAAAAGAGGAAACTGGAAAGAAGGGAGAGAGATTGGTGGCACAACTATCATCACCCCTTTTTTAATTAACACATAATAACTGTACCTATTTATGGGTACAATGTGATAACTGCATACATGAATACAGTGTAGTGATCAAAGTCAGTGACTTGGCACCCTTCTCAAGCATGTGACATTTCTTTATTAACAGGAGCTTTTGAACTCTTTTCTTCCAGTTATTTCTAAAATATATAATAAATTGTTGCAAACTATAATCAAGCTATGTGTTGTAGCATGTGAGAAGTTACTCTGCTAACTGTATTTTAGCAACCATTATCCAACTTTTTCTGCTCCCTGGGAATTGACCAGAACTCAACTCTCCTTTTAGGAGAGCAACTTTTGAAGATCTTTCATGGGAATAGTTTTCTGACTGGGGAAACAAAGGTCTATAAACATCTAACATTATAATCTAAACTATCCTGCTAAGTCAGCTGGGGAGCAGGGCAAAGTGTAGGGAGATTCTTTCAGGTCAAAATCCCCAAGTCTTATGTCCTTGATTAAAGATTCCATGCCTCTATTTCAGAGACTCATTCTCTTTTATCTTTAGCCTATGTGTACTTCAACATGCATGTGTAAAACATGTAGATCATGTGTGTGAAGAGTCACTTATTTCTAGTATTAGCCTCAGATACATCTACAGAAAGTTCATTCAGGAATAAAGAACAATTGACGACTTTCAATTTACACATAATAGAGAGAACAGTGGTTCTCAACTTTTCTAATACTGTGACCCTTTAATACAGTTTCACATGTTGCAATGACTCCCAACCATGAAATTATTTCATTGCTACTTCAAAAAAGCTGTAATTTTGCTACTATTATGAATCATAATGTAATATGTGGCCCGAGGGGTCGAAATCCACAGGTTGAGACCACTATCCTAGAGGGAGAAAACAGTATGCAAATTCAAAGACCTTAAAAGTAGCCCTAATTTTTAAAAGCATGTAAAGTTTCACAAATTATCAAAGAAACTGATGTTAATGAACAAGTTTTAGTTTTTCTCAGCCTAAGAGCTTGGCTCTCCTTTATAACTATTCAAAACAAGAATCAGGAAACTAGTTGTGGTAGTTTGGCCCTCATAATATCATAGGGAATAGCACTATTAGAAGATGCGGCCTTGTTGGACAAAGTATGTCATTGTGGGGGTGGGTTTTGAGATTTCTTATGCTTAGGAGACTGCCCAATGTCTCAGTCCACTTCCTGTTGCCTGCAAGACGTAAGACTCTCAGCTACTTCTCCAGCACCATGTCTGCCTGCATGCCATCATGTCTCACCATGATAATAACGGACTGAACCTCTGAACTGAAAGTGAACCACCCCAATTAAATGTTTCCTTTATAAGATTGCTGTGGACACGGTGTCTCTTCACAGCAACAGAAACCCCAAGACACCAGTCTTTCATTACTCTTCAGCAGTTTCATACTTCCTTAATTTTTATCTTGTCAACATGTGGCAATCCATCATCCACTCTGGTCTGTATACAGCTGTATCTGTTCTACTTTTCCACTTCAACTCTGGTTCTAACTGCACTTATTTTCTGGGTGTTTCTGAGACAGTGTCTTGCTACATAGGTCTGGCAAATCTGGTATTTACTCACTATGTAGACTACACTGGCTTAGCTATGAGGCACTTGATTTTGAGCTTGCCTCAATAAGAGCTTGAAGACAGTAAAATCCCCAAAAGAGATTCTGTAAGCTCTGTATGTACCATACCATAAAAGGAGCTAGAAGCACACTTTACCAAAGTCAAACAAAAAAATTCTCATTTCCTATCTCATCTTTGACTCAGCAGCAATGAAGACTCACTACATTTCAGGCATTGTGGTAGTCTGAATGAAAATGGCCTCCACAGTCTCATAAGAGAGTGGCACTATTAGGTGATGGAGGAAGTGTGTCACTAAGGGTGGGCTTGAGGGTTCAGAAGCTTAAGCCAGGCCCAATGTCATTCTCTCTTCCTGTTGCCTGAGGATCCAGATGTAGGACTCTTTGCTACCTCTCTAGCACCATGTCTGCCTGTATGCGGCCATGCTTCTCACTCTGACGATAATGGACTAGACTTCTGAACTATGTAAGTCAGCCCCAATTAAATGTTTTCTATGTAAGAATTGCTGTGGTCATAGTGTCTCTTCACAGCAATAGAAACCCTAGTTAAGACAGGCATAAGTTTCAAGGACCTTCCAATCAAAGCAGGACATGCTGCAAATTGCACTCTGAGGTATCCTTTGCACCAAACACAAAGCAATTACATATAAAAGAAAAATTTAAATGCTGAAGTTATGATCAAAAACAGGACAAAAAAACTTAAGAAAAGGATGGCATTGGTGCTTGGGTCACAGAGTGGATGGAGAAAAGAGCTACAAAAGCATTAGCTTTTCTCAAAATGAAAACTGTGTAACAGTTCTGGCTGCCCTGGAACTCGATTTGTAGACCAGGCTGGCCTTGAACTCACTAAGATGCCCCTGCCTCTGCCTCCCAAGTGCTGGGATTAAAAATGACCGGCATGAAAACACTTTCTGTTGAGTATGTATAAAAAAAGAAGAATTTAAAAAAAAAAAAAAAAAAAAAAAAAAAAAAAAATCAAGTATAAAACATATGCAAATAGGAAAAACACTTCTAAAACTAGAGATTATTTAAAATATCAAAAATGAAGACTCAATTTGAGCTGGGCAGCAGTGGCTCATGCCTTTAATCCCAGCACTCAGGAGGCAGAAGCAGGCAGATCTCTGTGAGTTCAGGGCCAGCCTGGTGCACAGAGCAAGTTCCAGGACAGCCAGGGCTACACAGAGAAACCCGGTCCCAGAAAATCCACAAGCCAACCAACCAAGAACCAATCTGAAAAACTTTCTTTCCTTTGTGCACACAGCAAAGGAGAAATGGGCTGGGCAGCAACTGGCATAGCCCATAACTACACTATTTTCGGTTGAGCATTAGTTAACAGTAAGCACACTACCAGATAAGCAACGCTGACATCTTAACAATTTGAGATACAAAACTGAAAAATCATTAAGCATTGATAATATAGAGTCTCACCTGTGCTTTGATTGTGATCTCTTTCTTCTAGAATGGGATTTTGAGCTAGACCTGGACTTTGAGCGAGTGTGGGAACGAGATCGACCGCCTTTCCTTTCATTGCTCTTTCCAGACTCTGGGAGGAAAAAACCACTTTGCAGCGTAAGCTCAGAACAATTAAAGATCCCAATTAATAATTAGGCACAAGTGGAATATACCACATATAGTGCAAGGGGCCTACTCTCTGTACATCCTCCTCCTGTGCAATTATCCTTCAGAAACATCCAAGAAAGTCATTGCATAAACTCGTTGAGTGCAGCCACCCTGCAGCAGTACATATAAACCAGATGATTATAAACAGCTGTTCGTAGTATTTTGTTGCTGCCATAACGTATGATTAAAACATGTCTGCAATTCCTACGACAGTAAGGTTAAGACCTTCCTGCATTTATTTTGTTAGAATTGAAGCTAAATTCCAAGTGTTAACTTAGGAAGCCTAATTAAAGATAAATCACATAGACATTTTGAGTGGATTTTAAAGTATTTAGCAAAACAAAAATTTGAGTAAGTTTTCCTTTAACCTTGCAAAACTGAGTGTGTTTTCTAAATCATATGCCCTTTCTCTTGTCTTAAAATTAAAACTTTCAGGGAAAGTCAAGTTGCCTATTTTTAGCACTTAACACATTTATTCTTTCCTTCTTAGCCTTACAATAACACACTCTGCTTCAAGCAAACCAACCTCAACACCAACTTGCTGTCATAGAAAACTCACTAAGCTAAAGTGTGTTAGTTCGGTATCAGGGAAAAGTTGGTTTGTGCTGACTTGTTCTAAGTAATCCACTTACTCTTTCTTGAGTTTCAGTCTTCTTATTTGTACAATGAAGGAACTGAGCAGTGTAATACTAAAATTCCTTCCAGTTCTAAGAGTCTATGGTCTTTAGACTATGACTATATAACAACACTGTGGGCTTACCTGGTTCAATAGCTGCTGAGATAAAGGACTGAGCCTCCCGTACTCGCTTCATTACTTCTTCTAACTCCTTAGCTGCAGCCTGAGGTGTCATCTCAGGAGGTTTTACTATTGCATTGTTGGAGTGATTTATTCTAAATTAAAAATATTAGCATATCACATACACACACCATAGTTTATAAAACATGAAACAATTGTTAGTATAATATACATATTTATAAATCTGAGGGTATCTCAGCAGCACATAAGGAAATAAAATAGCTAAATACAGAATAGTCAACAGCAACCTGACATAACCATATTAATCTCTCACTTCTACCTACCATCATTTCTTGCTAAACAAAGGAAAAAGCAAGAAAAACTTAAGTCTACCTTACTTAACAATTGATTGAATAGACTATTACAAATGCTTCTGCACATAAGTTAGAAAAAAATGGCAATGCTAATACCAAGTTTAAATGGACCACTTCTTTTATTATTATTTTATTTTTTGAGACATGGTTTTGGTTTTTCTGCATAGCCCTGACTGTCTGAGAACTCACTCTATAGACCAGGCTAGCCTCAATCTCACAGAGATCTGCCTGCCTTTGCCTCCTGAGTGCTATGATTAAAGGCATGTGCCACTATCACCAGGCATGAAACACTTCTATTCTTAACTAGATTCTGCTAATAAACCTGCATAGCCAGACAAGATGAAGGGGAAGCTAACTACACGGTCATTTTATTCAACACTGTCCCATGTTTGAGTCAGACATAGTTTTAGATGTGAAAAGCATCTGGTAAACCTCCCCTAGTAGGCAAGGTGGCTTCTGTGACACATACAGACACACCTGCTGTGCCTACCTTACCACACTGAGAAGACTGAGTACCCAGTAATAGTGACTCATCATTTAAGAGTAACCCAAACTATTAATGAAGAGATCAGCCATAAAACTCAAACCCACATTTGCCTAAATAATCTGCATGAAATACAATTTCTGGTCTTGAGTAGCTGAAAGTGATATGCAGTTTTTACAAAGAATGGACATGAGCAGATTACATCACAAGGTCTGATTTAAAACACTTCTAAATACTTAACACTACTTTCTTCATAGGATTTGGAATTTACCAAAATTCCTATTACAAAAAGGAATAGTTCAATTACAAGTTGCCCTTAATCTTCAATTATCACAAAACACACCTGACTTACAGAACTGTGCAGAAAAATGCCTGAAGAAATTATGTATTTTATACAAACAGTTAACGGCCAACTAGATACTAAAAACAGAAGAAACATCTTCAAATATAACATGCTACAGTGTCATGCATTTCACTTATACTTAACAGTCTCTTCCTTTCCACAAATTGCCAGTAACTATTTTTTTAAAAACCCACTTTTCCAAAATCATTAAAATTTCTTTGTTGAAGATTTCTTACTTCAGTGGCCTGTCTCCAAACATAACTCCATTAAAAGCAAGGGCCCTTGGTACAGAATTTTGGTCTGCAAATTCCACAAAAGCAAACCGAGTTGGCTGAGTCTCATCACCTGCCATCCGAACAAACTTCACTTCTCCAACTTGTTTAAAAAATTCAAGCAGTTGATCAGCTGTCGTCGTCTGAGGAAGCAGATTGATACTTTAATACAACATATTCTTTTTTTTTTCTTTTTAAAATCAGGTAAATAAAGCAGTTAATTTTTGCAGGGAGAAGGGAGTGCATTTTCTTTAGTGATGGGGCCACTGGCAAGGTTCCCATGCTCCTGTCAATAGCCCATTACCTATGCTCCTCTAAGATCGTGATTACACTTCCTGGGTCACAAGAAACGCATCAGAGTTCTATAGAAGGGGGACTAGCTGGGAGGAGAGAAGAGGCTCATGGGGGTGGGGGAATCACAAGAGAGTAGTAGGGAAAATGAATATGATCAAAATAATATGCATGCATGAAAACATTATAATGAAACTCATTATACAAAATATGCTAATAAAAATAAATTTTAAAATAAGTAAATAATACTTCAACAGAATTTTTAAGAAGAAAGAATAAGCAACTACTGCCACTCGGTTTCTTCTTAGTTACCTGTGAATTCAAATTTCCAACATAGACTGTCCTCCGAATCTCATCAATTTTGGAAGGGTCCACATTTCCCATAAGTGGTGGCTGTGGGATCTCTCCAAGTGTTGTAATATTGGGGTCTAGTGCTGCTGCTGGTATGGCTCCCAAACTGCTAAGTGAAACACCAAGCTATAAAAGACAAAAGTAAACCATAAGGCACAGTTTTCATTAGTGGCCAAAGCATTGTTTTTTAATACTGCTACCAGTAGATCAACTCAACATAAATGGGAAGAGTAAAAGGACTCCTTGCTTTAAGCTACATGTATCTGAATTATTTGAGATCACACTAGTTTTTAATACAACAATGTTTTTAACTATCTTTAAACTGATACTAAAAATGAAAACTAACTTTCAATGTTCAAGGTAGTTGCATTCTGTGATTCCCATAAGCAGTATTGTTGTACACTGTAGTAAAAAGGTTTCTGAAAGCCTGTAGTAACAATACCTCTGTCCATCAAATATTCAGCACAGAACTATGTGCCTTTCTGTCAGGTGGTCCCTCAGTCAACACATGCTAATACTGAATACTTAGTCAGCAAAACAACTCAGAAGCATTTTCAATCACTAAGGTCTGAGCTTTTTTTTTTTTTTTTTTGGTTTTTCGAGACAGGGTTTCTCTGTGGCTTTTGGAGGCTGTCCTGGAACTAGCTCTTGTAGACCAGGCTGGTCTCAAACTCAGAGATCCGCTTGCCTCTGCCCGTGCGTCACCACGCCTGGCCCAGGTCTGAGCTTTTTAAAAAAACACTGTGTATGGGAACTAAAGAGCAAAATCACATACTAAAAAAAAAAAAAATTTTCAAAGAATATGGCACTAAACAAACTGCAATCACATTCATTTGCAGCATAAGTACTGAAACAAAAGCCCAATCATGGTTACAACATTCTTTTACTAAGAAATCACAAGATATTAATTATCGTTTAATTCTACAGAGAAAAGAATTTCACGTTTTTGTCACACCTTGTTTCATCTTCTCAGTCATCAGGTAACCACTTCTCTGAAACACTTTCTTTCCATGACTAATGTTCATCTCCCTTTTTAATGATTTAGTCCTTCCGGTCCTCCTGACCTGGGAAGTGATTAGCACCTCCAAGTCTGTGCTATCTAAAGCACCAAGTTTCCATAACTAATTTTTCTAATAAATAATCCTATTTGAATTCTGAAATCTAAACAAGTTCCCAATTATTTCAGAGTAATGCCCCAAACAAACTCAAGTAAGATGACGTGGGATAAATTTTTAAGCATGGACTTTGGATGGTTGCCACCAAAACAAAGTGAAATTAACTTCTTCCTCCTTCCTCACGAGTTTGCACAGGTCAGTGCTTACCCACTGGGAGGACTTACACTACTCACTGCCGTCAGAGGGCTGGAAGTCGGAATGGGAAGCAATCCTGCACCAGGCACCAGGCTTGTCATGGTTGGAGCAGGAGCCAGTAAAGAAAGGGCTTTGGCTTCCTCTGGGATTTTACCTGCAGAGGCAAGTTCCAAATATTATGGAGAGCAGAAACACCACAGCAACTTTACACTATGATTTTACAATTACCCTTGCACTTAAAAAATAATAATAATAAATGAATCTATCTATCAGATCCATACAAAGAAACAAATAAGAACAAAAGTAGTCTTTCCTTTTATCCTGCTCTATTAGGAAAAATAAAAGTGAGCAAAACTTCAAAGACTAGCAATCTCATTAATGGAACATTATTTTAAAAACTGAATAATGTAGACAATTATTTAACACTTTGAGCTATGGGTCACCTGTACTGGAAACTTAATGTTCATGAACCAAACGATATCAAGCATGGACGCTTTCCCAGGACGCTGTTTTCGCGGTGATCGAAAGTTGTGTTACACATGACAACCGTTCGTGTTGGCTGCGTCACTAATAGCACACAGAACATCAGATACAGAAAAGAAGAACATTTTTTAAAGTTTAATCCCCAGAAATGGCAAATAACCAAATTAGTCAAAAAAAAGAAAAAAGAAAAAGAAAAAAACAAATATGTGCGAATTGAAATCTGTTCCATAATGCGTGTCTCTTCTAGCCTGTTACTGTAGCTACCTACTGTGAGCAGACAATTCTGACAACCCTCCAAGACTCCACTCAACTGCAGATAAACAGAAGAAAACAGAAAACTAGAACATGCATCAGCTTCGATTAAAAAAAGTCCATACCCATTCATCAATAAGGCACCTCACCAACATCCGTAATACCTAAAAAGAATCCAATCCCAAAAAATTCATGGGGCTGAACAACATTTCCCCAGTCTCAGGAAACTTAAAATACTAACTTTCAGATGCAATTTATGTATACTTAGCTGAATAATAGTTAACTAAAACTTTAAAAAAATGCTTTTCTTATGAAGCCTGTAATTTTCTAACAGGAGTAATACTAAAATCACTTTAGAAGTGAAGAAAAATGCCTGCAACTTAAAAAAAAAAATGAAAAATTTACTTGTAACTTCATGATCTCCCATATTTAGTTTCTGAATTGAAAAAGTTGACAGACTAAAACTCATATTTTACCCTATCTTTTTGCAAAAACTGGTATATTTCTCAAACTTGATTGCATATATAAATAATCATTCCTATTATTAAGAGTGTGTTAAAACTGTACTTTAAAAAAAAATCACACAAACTGAAATATGTGTGAAAATTTTCAAAAGCATTCTGCCTGGTTTCAGTGGTATAATCCTATTTAAAACAACCAGATGTAAGAAAGAATGTCTAAACTTCTGGAAAGACCTCTAAGCATGGATGGAACTCAAGATGGAATTTAAAACTTTAAATAATGGTTATAGCTTATCTATAGAAAGAAAATTAGAATTACAGTTTAGTGGCTTTGGCAAATGTATACTTTCTAATTTTACAGCATCTAAATTTAACTAATTTCAAAAACGAAGTTATTACTTTAAATCTGGAGAACAAATTTCTTAACATGCAGAATGATAACAAGGTAGGCCTTACAGAAGATATCAACTAACAATGAACTACTAGTTACCACTATTACTATACATCTATATATGCCCATATATATACTATACTATTCATATTAATTATCACATTCATTTTATCTACTAGAAATATATAGTATTTTTTAAGGTTTAAAACCTGAACACCTCTGATGAGTAACTGCAGTCCTGAGGTGTGCACTCTATGCTTCCAGTACTCTAATTTATGCACCTAAAAGAGTTCCAATCTAGTAGTGTACCAAATTTAATATTGCTTGTCAATAACCAAACCCAGCTATCCATACAATATAGAGGTTACACAGACAGTAAGGTATTCGACATGAGCCAAGCTCATTACTTAGTACTATGAAGCCTCAGTTCTACCTTAAATACCAGCAGGCTATGAGATTCTCCCTACCATTCATGCCAATAAACTAAAAAATCAGTAACTATAAGCTCAGTATTATTTTGGTCTTATTCTATTAAAGATACCTTAAGAAAACTTCCATTGCTTTATTTCCAAAATAAAATTTATCCTCTAAAACTCAGAGTATAGAAGTATAAAACACGTGAGCATTTAGCATTTTCCCCAAACTACACTTCAAAGGAAACTGAGGCAAACATCTCTCACACTGTGAGTCCTGACTTCAAAATCCACTTAAAAAGCTAGTAGCCTCTAAAGAATTCTCAGCAAAAAAATTCAAGCAAACAAAAAAAACATTCATGCAAATAAATAACCAACAGTCTTCTCCAATATCCATTCCCCATGGAGGCAACAAAAGGCTTCTTAGGACCAAGCTAATAAAAGACGAAGGCCTCCCCCTACCTTCAGATTGTTAAAAGAAATGTACTTAATTTTCCTTGATGGTTTTACATGCCTACAGTTGTAGGGGAAGGATAAAAATTAGAAGCCATCAGTTGGTTTTATGAGAGATGTAGACTTGGGGAAAAAATAATAAGCACTGAGCCCATCAGAAAATGTTCCTACAATTCTAGTGTAAATGTTTTAATGTTTGAAGATCAAAATGTCTTAATGTTTGAAGATCAAAATGTCCCTCAACCCACAAACACCAATTAAAAGGCACCAACCATCTTCCCAGCACTGCACTCTAACTTACTGCATGGCAATATAGTTCATCTCAAGGTTCAGCTCTGTTAATCATTCCCCCATAAATTTGCAACATGTTATGAATTCTTAATGGAATACCATTTACAAAGAACTGGAAAACCAGCTCACAAGTTAAAAGTGAGAGAGATTTAACAAAACAAAAACAAAACAAAACAAAAAAAAAGGGACAAAATAAAAAGAAATGAAATTAAAGTAAAACAATAAAAACAGAGACAGGGCGTCCATCTTCTGCGGTTCAGACTCCGATCTCATTTCCCCAATGAAGGTTTCACTTGGCGGCAGGTTTAGTGGCATGGCAAACAATGCCTGACTCAGGCAAGTGTAACAGGTCTGCCTTGGCCAGTCTAGTCATCTAATAATGCACAAATATCACATAGAGAAAACATACAAAACCAAATTAATAGTCAAAATCCATCTACCAGAAAATGTGGACATAAAGTTATGACTGATGATTAGGTTCACACCTGCTATGTTGATCTTATTTTTTCTAAGTGTTAACATTTATAAAAAGAAATCTGAAATGCACGCAACAACAAAAAGGGGTCATATTTAGACAAGCATAAGGAAAGTATATTTTTATCCAAAGTGGCATGTTGTATTAATAATAGTTCATGCTCAATTGGTATCAACACCACTTTTGCACCCTCTTCTCACATTGCTGTCTGAACTAAAACCCAGCAAACTGAAAGAAACTGAAAAATCTGGTGAAATGTTCTCATTTACACCACATGCTGCTTCCCTAGTGTGGAGGCATACAGTGAGTCAAGTGCACAGGGCACACACTGCACGGCACACCTCCTCTCTCCCAACTTCTCCACTAGAGACTTCCCTTCCTTCATTTGCTTCTCTTACTCTTCTCTCTTTCTTAATATAACAACGCATTATTTCTTTGTTGGCAGTGCATAGTCAGGCTTAACAGCTGTGAAATTCATCACTTGTATTTGACAAAACTAATAAAAAAATGTGTATCATTTTCTTCCTGATACTAGTTATAAATGTGGAAGTACAATAATGCAGTAAAGTTGCATGCCCAAAAATGGTAAAAATTTTCTCACAAAATGATAGCTTTAAAAATATCTAAGCAGTTATAACTGATTGTGTTTTTATAATTTCTACCAAGTAAAACAAACTACAAAAGAGATTTCCATGTGCTCATAACCTTGAACATTCCTTACAAATCAGAGCATCTCTGATTGTATGGAATTACAGCAAGGTTCCAACAATGATTTAAAACTCTCCATTCAAAATCAGAAATGATAAAAGTCTACACTATAATCTTCTGGTATTTCCAGGTAAGAAACCTACTGGAATATTTCCTGTGCAGTTTCAGGGCATGTAACTTTGTAGAATTAATACCTCTTCCTCTATCACCTTATTCCCCAACTTGGGGCTCACTGTGCTCTTAAATTAAGAGTGCCAGGTAAGACTCTACTTGGCAAATTAGTTACTTAATCCATTTTCCCTCTCTACTCCTAACCCCTGAAACACAAGAAATATGCTTTCAAATTTATCTGGGGGGAAAAAAGGAAGCCAGAACTTCCTGTTCTGGAATTTCAAAATTACTAGTCTGGGAGGAGCTGTATCTTATAGCTCTTAACATTCCAAAACAGGCATTTTGAAACAAGCATAAAATTCCCAAAGTGCAGCAAATTCCTGATGCACTAAGTGATTTTAATGTTAAGCTACTAACTATAAGTTTTTAAAATTACATATAAAAAGCCCACTGAATTGTTTTCAGCATATTTTTATGCTATAAAATAGTTACTATCAGCTAGCAAAAGAAAAATGGTCATTTCCAAGGACATTTAAATTTAGAAAATAACCAAATTTTAAAATCTACATATATATATATATATATATAAAAGCCAGTCAGTACTCTAAGTTAATTGTACATTAAAACAGTCAAAATCAGAAGCCAATTACATATGAATGACTCTAAAAAAACAATTTTTAAAAATAATAATTAGCTCTTAAAGCAATTCAAGACATAAAATTTAACAGATATCTAGAAGGCCTTTGGCCCTGCTCCCACCTTTGACATCACTCCTTGATGGAGGCTGTAACAATTGCTTTCAAGCTACCCTCCCCAATAAAAGCCAATCAAAAAAAGTTCTGGGTGTATAGCAAAAATTACACTATGAAATTATAGTCTTGCAACAATTGAGAGAAACTACCTTAAGAGGATATTTGAAAGAATAAACCGAGTAAATTTCAAATGAATATAAAAATATCATAACCCCAATATGGCTGAATGTGCTTTACTTGGGAAACTCTTAACTGTCCCATGAATATATTTACATATGCATTTTAAATACTTTTCCATACCAACTTAAGTTTTTAAACTTCAAAAAGCTTACAATCTGCAAATTGGCTACAGAAAAGCCAAAGCCAACTATAAAAGGCAAATATTTGATAAACTTCCTAAACATTCAGTTGTAAAATTTCAAATATCCATAAGTAATGAACTAACCACTTCCGTGTAATTTTCTATCAGGTGTTTTTTCTTCTCCAAATTTCATTCTCGTTTTCACACACACAAATGTGAGTGTGCACAAACAGACTCACACATAGAGTACTGGCCAATTTCTAGGAAAGCCAAACAGACAGGACAGATACTAAAACAATAAGAAAAACCATGAGATACCAACCTTCTGCACAAGGAACTACTATCAGAGCTCTGTCAATAAAAACCGTGTTAGTTAGATGCTGGGCCACACCAACACTTGATGGGTCACGAAACTTAATATAACATACTTTGGAGGAAAAAGCAAGAGGTGTGTTGCTGCAAGATAAAAAGAAAACAAATGGATTAATAAACATTTGCATGGTTTTATCATTTTCATTTGAAATTTCTTTCTTATACCAGACTTAGGTAATTTTCACTGTTAAAGACGATTAACACACAAAACAACAAATTTTAGTCATTTAATACTGACTTGTCTGATAAAACCTGATGAGTGAAATATAAAGTTAATCAGTCCTTGAGTGACATTGGGAAACCATGTTCTCAGGCAAAATTACTTTACAGAAGCTCCAGTTCAAGACTTCAAATTGTAGCTTCTCCCTACCCTAACTGATTGACTATCCATCATTTATATCACTAAAAGCAGAGCTAAAACCAAAGCTAGTGGTACCATGGGAGGCCCTGGGTTCACTGCCAACAATGAAAAAGAAATCACTGAAAACTTCATAATAATCATACAATCAATAATATGTAATTAAATGAGTTTTTTTTTTGCATATACCAGATGGCTTTAGGCTACAGAGAAATGTGTTTTGGGGGACAAAAACAAAATGTTTTTTTCAAACATGTTATATAGTTTATTTTGCAAAACATTAGACACTAGTTCATTTGATTCAACACAATCTAGACAGATCTATAGTAAAAGAGAACCAGCATGAAAAAAATCTGTCTATAATATGATCTTACCTCATTATATTAAAAAAAAAAATCACTACCTTCATGGACACTATGTTGTTATCTATACTATTTCTCATTAAAACACTGACTAACTAGCAATTACAAAGTCACCTTTTTAAAAAAGTTTTTTTTTTTTTATTTTAAGTGTGTGTGTGCACATTATGAATGCTGGTGGGCGTGAAGTCCAGAAGAAGGCTGGAACTGGAGTCACAAGTGAGCTGCCTAAGAGGGTACTGGGAACCTAACACTAGTATGTGGTTTAACCACTGAGCCATCTTTCAACGCCCCCTTGACAATCATTTATTACTAAATTTGTTTTCTGTAATCCTTCATATATAGCAACAAATCCATCTTTAAAACAATGTAGAATAGCATTAAATGGTTAGAGTTACACTATCAACCTGTGATGGTTAACATTGATAGTCAAACTGACTTGATCCACAAGGGAAAGAGACAGTTCTATGCAATATTATCTAGATTAGAGGAGTTGAAGTGACAACATTCCTTGGACTAAGGTCCTATAAAACATAAAAAGGAGAAAGCCAGGTGAACACAGTATTGAGGACTCTGCTTCCTCACAGTGGACTTAATGTGACCAGCTATCTGCCTCCTGCTCCTGCTGTCATAGCTTTTCCTCCATGATGAACTGTATCCCTGGAACCGTAAGCCAGGTTTCTTTCTTAAGCAGCCTTGGACATGGCAAAAAGACCTATATACATAGTCAAATACTGTAATAAAATTTATTTGTGTTTAGAACATAAGTCAATGTTATAAATATGTGTTGGAGCCACTTAAGTTTTTAAAAATACTAATTCTTTCCTATTTGACTCAATTTACTCCCCCACCATACCCCCTGCCTAAGTTCACCAACTCACAGTAGCCCTCACCAAAAACCCCTCCTCAGCAATTGTCTAAACCAAAGGCTTTTACATAGTGTCACATAAATAAATATAGTCCCATTCAGATTTAAGCCACCACCCTTATATTGCCAAATCTCCAACTGAGATCATGGGAACAACCAGATCCAAGAGCCTGCCTGCTGAATATTAACTACACTTTGATGTACCCTTACCTCAGTAAGTTCATAACCCATTCACTACCTTCCCTTCTTCCCAGCCCCACCCTGTATCCTGTATTTTCTATTTAGTTAAAAGTAAAAGTCACATTTCTCCAGTCTGCTAGCTGGCAGTCACTACTATGGCAGTAATTGATACTATTCACCAAAATTTCCAATGCTCTTTTAAGTGCACAGTAAAATTCCACTTTTCTGCTTCATGAACTCAATTGCATCCAAATCATTTGCTTTGGTGGATTAAATATCAACAGAACTAACATCTCGATTCTGCAGAAGCCCTGAGAGCCACGGTTTAGCCCTTTTCCTCTGCCACAGCCACCAGCATCACGGAGCCCCTCAGTGAAGCCAGTCTTAAAGAGAACTACCAAGACGGGTTAAGAAATGATCTCTTGTCAACTAGGACTTGGAATGCTGATCCTGAGTCACTCCTGATCTCGACCTTTCCAACTTCCTCATACAAACCGTCAATAAATCCTGAGATCATCTCCCAAATACACAGTATACTAAGTCTTTCCTCATTCTCACTATTGATGGCTTAGTTAGGACCTCAGCAATGCTCACCCAGATTATCTATAGTTTCCTAATCAATCACTCTTTGTCTAACTTTAATCCCTTGTTAACCATCTTCCACAAAAGTGCCAGTGTGATTCTTAGACCCTAAATTTCATCACATCCCTTAAGATTAAATTCCTTGGATCCACTTTTGTGTTACTGCTTCATTGTGTGTGTGTGTGTGGTGTGTGTGTGTGTGATCTCCAAAACTTCACACATACATATGAGTCCTAGAACACATCTTCTGAACATAGGGGCTCTGTACATGCTGCTTCACTTAGGAAATCAGATTTCCCCTCCCCCCCTCTCCTTTAAACTAACTCCATTTTCCTTCAAGACTCAAGTTTCTTCAAGTCCTCTGTAAAGCATCTAAAGATACCACAGGCCACAAGCACCCTCATTGAGCATCATATGCAGCTTCAGCGCAGGCATTATTAGTACAATTTTTTAAATATTTATTTATTTATTATGCATGCAGTGTTCTGTCTGCATGTATCCCTGCAGGCCAGAAGAGGGCACCAGATCTCATTACAGATGGTTGTGAGCCATCATGCAGTTGCCAGGAATTGAACCGAAGACCTCTGGAGTAGCCAGTGCTCTTAACCTCTGAGCCATCTCTCCAGCCCTAATAGTACAATTTATGCAAACCTCCCAACACATCCTCTAAGTTTCTCTAGCCACAAATGATTAGTTACTTGCCACAAAGAGTTCATTTCACTGGCAGACCAACACCACCTAATTTGGGTGGCAGGCTTGACCAAGTAAATGAACTCAAAACAATCAGATTCTTTCTGGAAAGTCCACAAAGAAACAAAAAAGATACACAAAAACAAACATCCTCTTGAGAGAAAAGGGCAGAGTCACTCTGATTGCTGCTACTTTCTGATTCCCTGGACCCAGGAGGCCTCGCTGCTCTATGGTCATCACAGACTTTGTTAATTTAGCAAAGATCTTTATAAATAGACAATGCCAGCACTTATGTGAGACTGGTAACACTCTGTCCTTCCCAGCTAAAGCAAGTCAAAAGCCTACTAAAGCCCTAAGAATTTCAACAGGAATACATTTAGCCCTCTCTCTAATAAGAGTCTGATAAGCTTTCATTAGAGCTACATTTCCTAAGTTGCCAGACCCTTTTGTGAAAAACTGCAAACCTAGATAGTCACTACTGAAAATGAAAAGCACATCCTAGATTATCTCTAGTTAAAATCCACTTCACTTTAAATTTATTATTCATGGGCATAGTAAACCAGTCAAATTTATAAAGAAACTACATGGGAAACCGGGGAACTGATTTATAAGTGGTCTATTCTGAAAAGCACTATCATGGTACATACATGTAAGGTATGTAGTACATGTAAGGTATATAGTTCTTACCCTTCCTGATGCTGAGACCCCAACCATAAAATTATTTTTGTTGCTACCTTATAGCTATAATTTTGCTACTGTTATGAATTATAATGTAAATATCTATGTTTTCCAATGGTCTTAAGCAATCCCTGTGAAAAGGTCATGTGATCCTCAAAAGGGGTCACAACCCACAGGTTGAAAACCACTGCTTTAGAGGTTCTATCAAAATCACATAATCCAAAGCTTGGACAAATAGTTTTATGCATGAAATTATTACCCAACATAACATTTATCTAAGGACTCCAATAGTACTTTGGATGGCTCAATTCTAAGCCTTTCCTTATGAACTTCTGACATTGCCTACAGACCTACCAAACACTGCTGACAATCAAACACTTCCAAATGCAGAGCTTAAACTCATTCATTTGT